TACTTCCAGTGAAGCATAGGCTGCCGACCAGGCATTCTAAAACACACTCTGTCCTGGACCTTCCTTCCTAGTTCTATCCAATTTTTGTATATTCTTTTCATATCTGTCTCCATTTCTCGGTGTAATTTAATAAACTTGTTGATATTTCTTTAGTATACATCTATGATAAATTTATAATCGGTTATGATTAAGTGTTTGAAGTAAATTACTATATGACTATAAAACATTGATTCATAACAGTTGAATGAGTTGACATGATCTTTTGAGTATATTAAAGGTGAACATTCAATAGACAATCTTAGATGAAAAAATCTAATGACTCAAAAGATGGTTGACTGATGTATTACCTTAAAATTAAACACCAATTCTGTCTATTCATTTTTTGAATATTATCAACTGAAATACATCGTTGATCCTTCAAGATCCATTAGGTTGGTTAGTCAAACATTTTAGATCAAGCTCTCTACTTTCCAGCATATATGTATATATATTGTATTTATGAGATGATATATGAATGTTTAGTAAACTGTTTACAATATTTTTATTTGTATAGGTAACAGAAACGAACATAGAAATCAAGGTATTCAAAATGATTAGAATGTAGTAATTGTAATTACTGTCTTTAATCTATTAGATGTGTAAATAAAATCAGCATAGATACAATAATAATAGCTTAATTTGTGTAATCTGATTGGTGGTTTATTTCAAAGGTTTTTTTCTACAGGATAGGGTTTCTGACTTCATGTTTCACCGTCGTCCATTATCTGGGCTTGAGACCGGCAGCAAGTCTAGAAGAGCTACAAGCGGAGTTAGATACAGCAATGACTATGAAAAAAAAATATTTTTTTCTTTTTACGTAAACAAACCATGTGATTAATAATAATTCGTATTTTTTATTAGATCCTAATCAGTAGAAAAGTCGTATAACGAATCAATTTTTCAGAATTAGTTTACATTAGGTTGTGAAACGTTATAAATACAATTCTTCTATTCCTTGAAGTAGTAACTCATCAAAGACAATGGTGAACGGTGGCTCAATTTTGTTGATTGGTTGAAGTTAGGTAGGAACATCGTTGGATGCTGGCCGGCCCAGTGGTCTAGAGATTAAACGTTTACGTGCGAGGTTGATAGAGAATGAGTTCGAATCTCATGATGCGGGATCATGGATGTGCACTAACAAAAAGGAGTCCGACAATAGGACAAAACGCCCTTCTAATGCTTATAGGTTTTCTATGATGATCTAGCTTCAATTTAATCATGATCTCAACCATTGGAATTACTGTAATATCCACAAAAAACCCTTCTGACAATAATCAACATATGCTCAATGGTTACTGGCTTCAAGAGGTATTTGCTGGAGTTCTAGTGAGAAGCAGTGACCAATGGAGTTCAACTGGGTCTATTGTGAGACAGTAACACACTGATGACAATGGTGAACGGTGGCTCAATTTTGTGGATTATTTGAAGTTAGACAGTAACACATTTGGATATCGGCTGGCTCAGTGGTCTAGAGGTTAAGCATTCACATGCGAGACTGTTAGGGTCTGAGTTAGAATCTCACGAGACATGATCGTGGATGTGCAATACTGAGGAGTTCCATACCAGGACAAAATGGCCTTCCAGTGCTTCCAGGATTTTCATGGTTGCCTAGCTTCAGTTGACTCATGAATTCAACTGTTAATTAAGTACAATATCCACGAAACTCCTTTCATTGTCATATAACACAAAAATCTATTTATCATTAATTTCCTACTAAGTGCTCAATTTATTTGATACTACCATGTTCAACCTTGGCATTGATACTTACATAACCATGTGATTTTTATTTGCATCACAAATATTATAATCCTTAGCCATTCAAGTACATAATTAATTGATGAATAGATTCACAGGAAGTACAGTTTTTGTACCATCTTCTTCTTTACAGATCCCCACGATTTTGATGTTATAGAAGATACATCAGGTAAATGAATATGCTACAAGTGAATGTTGAATTCTGCTAAAACTTCAACAGTATGATGAACAAAAACTGACACATCCCACTTCATTATTATCGTTAAAGCATTTATCAACGATTATTGTTAATTTCTAATGTTCATCTGTTGATTGACTTAGATTACTTACTTATTTACTTATTTACTTACTCCTGTTACTCCTGGTGGAGCATAGGCCGCCGATCAGCATTCTCTAACCCACTCTGTCCTGGACCTTGCTTTCTAGTCCTATCCAATTGTTGTTCATTCTTCTCACGTGTGTCTCCATTTTCGGTGTAATGTGTTCTTTCGTCTTCTTCTTCTCTTTTGGCCTTAAGGATTCTAGATGAGGGTTTGTCTTGTGAATGCTATTCATTCAAAAATTTTATTGAGTATAAATTATTCTTTTTTTCGTTCTTTATCTCTTTCATTTCAGCCAATCGTCCAAGAGTAATTAGAAGGCGTCAAGGAAGTAATTCTGCATATATTATTTAATGAAATTCCAGTTTGATTTTATTTCCACATATTCATTACGGAATATCAGTAATAGTTATGTGCTTGATCTAGATGATCCCATTTAAATTAGTTTATTCTAATACACACTTTCTATTGACGTATCACAGTGTTTACTTATCATTGCTTATGTATTATAGCTTATATGTCTACTTATGAGATATGTATAATGGAGCCCCTCTGAGGCTACTATCGGTCCCAAGATCGGGTAAAGGAGGAAGGTTAGGCATAGGGTTCGAGACTCCGTCCCTTAGAAATCTAACTCGCTAAAAAAATACTAGCCAGAAAGAAAATAATTCAACAATGTGTTAAAGGGAGGAAGGAAGAAAAGCTGATAGGCCGAAACAGATTCTTCAGTATCCAATATAACCTATGGATGCATCCTTAACCGAACACTGAAAACTTTATTTATTCCAATTACAATTCGTTCATCATTCTCTATACAATTTTTAAATGAATGATAATAAACAGTCGTACAGTTTGAATAATTTAACATTCTTGTATAGACATATAAAATTTAAGTTGTATTAGGTGATAGAACATCACCTCAGTCTGGTTGTTGTCGTCTGAGTTGTTGTGAATGTCATATAACGATACCATTATTTGTAAGTTAAGATTAAAAATCGCCATTATATCTTTCATTAGCATGATTACACTCAATGATGATAACGGTTTATATATTTAATGAATACCAGTTAGAAGTATCAGAGTCTATGCTAATTTTGATATTGTTTAAAATTCACCATTAGTACATCATGTCTATGAAGATATACTCCAATGCCATCCACCATTTTGACCTTGAACTTAATAACCAATCAAAATGAAGCTGGAATTACTATTTACACTATTGTACTCTATAATGAAGAGTATGTTTCATTTACAGTGTTTTGTGTTGGCTTACATTAAAAAAATATAAAAGCTTCTACAATAAATATACCACTCCATCCATCACGTTATGGACGTGTTAAGTGTAGTGCACTCAATTATGATAGAAGAAAAATTATAACATAACGAAAGTGATACTTCTAATTAATATCTACAACCAAGTGACTAAATAAACAAAAACACAACCTTAATTACTCATTACGATATACTTAGATGACTTGACAACATAGAGTTTATCCTCAGCTTAAATACAATATATTCTATTGAAATTTTCAACTTTTCATAGACTATAGTCAGTTGTCCAGTATGTTTTTATAATGAAGAAAATGTGTTTAACCAGATTATTATTTAGTTTACTAATATAAACAAAAAATTCATGGCATATTGATGAATTGATTCTATCTAGCGACGTACAATATGAATAGAATGTGAGTTCATTTTGAATGTAGTTCATTCATCTTACTGTAAAATTTTTCTCTCAAAATAAATAATTGTTACGAAGTAAAGATGGATAGTGACTAATAGTGAAATCCATGACATGTGTTTTGTCCTATTTGGGACTCGTCAACTGGATGTATTTGCATCCCAGAGTTGATGTTCACTGCGGGACTTGAACCCAGTACCGTTCGCTTCAAACGCCAATATAAGACTGATCAATTGCAGTCCTAAATAACAATCAGAAGAGAGAAATAAAACAACACCAAGTGAATATGAATGATTGTTACATTCACATTCTTAGTGTTTTCAATGTTTCCATTCAGTAGTTTATTATCGTTTGATAATCAACTGATACATAGTTTCTATTCTATTCGGAATCATTGAATTGCAGTAACAGAAATCGTCCACGAACACTGGAAGTTGAATAATTTTCAGGAGAGGTAATTCTGAATAAATTATTTCATAGTATCTCACTACATTCTGTAGAGTAATCGTCACTTTAATAAAGTAATATGTCTTCAAGTGTTTCCAAGTAATACTGATTATATAGAATAATGGTGTATAAATTAGTAGTTAGAATTAATAGATAGTATATTATGAAACAAGAATTTCAGCTAATTGCTATTCATTGACTACGTCAACATACTAATCCATGAGAAATCATGTTATACAGTTCATCGTTGGGACCATAATTTATAGACGAATTTTGAGTGACGCTAGACTGACCTTAACAGTGTCTACCTGATAACTAGGATCAAATGAGGGTTATAAATTACTGTAAGGAATTCGAATTATGATTTACATTTGATAATTAAGGTCAGGAATTAGATTTAGGGCTTTTATCATGAACTGACATCAATTATAATGCCAAAACTCTATTTAGTCAAACGAGTGAGTGAATTTCGCGCCAAAATCCGAGACCTGTCCTCTTATACATGATTGGTTCATTCATAAATTATAGTCTCGCCAGTGCATGTAGTGTGGAAACCTTTGCAGATATCCAACAACCAAAACAAAGTGACCGTACATCATCTGTTAAACGTATATATTAAAAGAACGTACACATACAATATGACTGTCATGAGTAGAGAACAATTATATACTACTGAAATATTCACAATACAATAAATCATATAAATATGTTGGTAAATGGTATCACTTAACGTTAACCTGGATGTCCTAATTCAAAAATCAGCTATTATTATTGTTAATAGTAGTAGTAGTAGTAGTAGTAGTAGTAATAGTAGTAGTAGTAATAGTAGTAGTAGTAGTAGTAGTAGTAGTAGTAGTAGTAGTAGTAGTAGTAGTAGTAGTAGTAGTAGTAGTAGTAGTAGTAGTAGTAGTAGTAGTAGTAGTAGTAGTAGTAGTAGTAGTAGTAGTAGTAGTAGTAGTAGTAGTAGTAGTAGTAGTAGTAGTAGTAGTAGTAGTAGTAGTAGTAGTAGTAGTAGTAGTAGTAGTAGTAGTAGTAGTAGTAGTGAAAACACTGATTATTTCAACAATCGTAAATAAGATTTAAGCATTAAATTTGTACTAAGTATTATTTACTCAACAACTTGGTGCACCGTCAACAGAAACTACCAGGTTCAATTGATTGACTTAAGATCATTAAAATCTGTAAACGATATCTAACACCAATGCGACATAATCACCAATACATATTATTACACTTAGATTACAGTATTTCGTAGTTAATAAGTATTCAGTTACATTTCAGTAAACACCAAACTATTTAATCTCTAAGACTGAATTGCTCAAATTCTAAAACTTACAAAATATATCTCTCAGTTTCAAAGTTTCAAACCACATAACAACCAAATCTCTGTAATATACCTAACATAACCAGCGAGTACTGAGGTGTACATCAGAACATTACCTTTTTGTTTTCTTAAGTGACAAACAGTGAATATGAACAGAATATTACGTAATTATAAACATTTGTAATTGATGATTTTGTTTCACGTTTACCTCATTAGATGGATTAATCTTTACTGGACTCATCAATGTATATTAGTTAATTAGTAACATAGAAATATATAAAAAAGATTTAACTATCAATACGTTTGTTTTATAACTTTTAAAAATGATCATTTGGGTATGTGATCGAAAAAGATAAGAAAAACTTTATCGATTATGTAACACTTAGTTGGAATAGTTGGATTGTACCTGAATCTCCGAGTTGATGTTCACTCTGGAACTCAAACGCGGCACCGTTCGCATCAAACGCTATTGCGTAATCCATTTAGCTACTGAAACCTAATAAAGCTTGTGACCTAAGGCAATATCAAGGCAGTCCGCATAGGATGCATACATGCTAACAAGAGACTAATGAATTGCAGTCTTAAATAACAGTGGGAAGATACAAGTAAACAACACCAAGTGAATCAAACTTCACCCCATTGCACAAGCAGGTGGCTAACAGGACTCAGTAGCTGAGTGGATAACATGATGGCGTTTGAAGTGAACGGTACTGGGTTCGAATCCCGGAGTGAATATCAACTATGGGATACAGGTACATCCAGCTGACGAGTCCCACAATAGGATGAAACAGTCGTTTATTACTTTCAGGTTTTCCATGATTATCTTGTTTCAATTGACTCATGATCTCAACCATTAGAAATTACTAGAATATCTATAAAAACAATGGTTAAGTGATGAAGAGATATTACCAATCCTTAATGTTGGAAATCTACAGTAAATATATTCAATATGATATTGTTATTTACAATTGATCTACCTAATAAGAAACAGGTTTAACCTAAAGGTTGATTGAAATCAATAACACATTAAATATCATATAATAGGAATCATCTACTCTTAATGGTTGGTCAATATGTTTTTTTTAGTAAAATGTTAATGATGATCGCATTTTACAGTTCAGCACTAATTAGTTAAATAGTTTTGATAAAATCAATAAAATTACGGTCTGAATTTCACTGTTAGCCATTATCCATCTTTGCTTAGAATACTTCTGTATTAAGGCTATATTAAGGCAATACACACAGTATGAACATATGCCAATAATTTTGATGGAGTTTTATTCTCTGAGCTGGATGGTTTAGTCGTGGAGTTTTCATTGTTCTTCTGAACGACATCATCAGCACAAACTTAGGATAGAAGGGAAGTGTTCGAATTTTTCTATATACGTTTCACAGCTTTTTCCGTACACTTCGATGTTGAACCAATCAACAGCTCAGAGAACAAAACTCCATCAAAATCATCCACCTGAGCTGCAAATCTTCTTCACCATCTCAATATGCCAATAATAGCAGACTGATCAAATACAGTCCTAAACGTCAATAGGAAAATTCAAACAAATAATATCAAGTGAATTTATATTATGTAATTATTTATATTGATTTCAAAGTCTATTGAAGTAATGAAAATAACGGTATATTTCGTGTAATTGTCACTAATTCATTGAGGAAAAAATTTATCATAGAAACAATCGAATACAAAAGTTTATTCATAAATAAATCATACAGATCATAATTTATTTAAAATAGGTTTATGTCAAGGCATTGTAAATTCAAATTCAACTGATATTGTTTACTTGAATCTTCCCATAGATGTTAAGGACTGCATTTGATCAGTCTCTCTCTTATTGGCATATGTGCATCCTGTATGGATTTCTTTGATATTTCATTAAGTCACATACATTCAAAGCGAAGATGGGTAGCGGCTAGTAGTGGAATCCATGACTCGCACTTCGCCCTATTCGGGAGTCATTAGATGGGTGTACCCGCATCTCAGAGTTGATGTTCATTGATCAACTGCACACCTAAAAAACAATAGGAAGATACAAACAAACAATAATAAGTGAATTAAACTCCGCTCTATTACATAAGCACGTGACCATGACGACTCAATAGTTGAGTGGATAACGCGATGGCAATTAAAACGAATTATACCGAATTCGAGTCCCAGAGTGAACATCAACTCTGAGATACAGATACATCTATCTGATGAGTCCCAAATAGGACGAAACGCGCGTGCTGCATACCACTGCTAGCCACTATCCAACTTTCATTATAAATTCATCTACAAAAAGTATAATTAAAAGCCAATGCCTATCCACAATAAAATACTATCATAATATAAGCCTGAATTATAAGAACAATTGATGATATTGTTGATAAACGGTAAATGAAAACAATTCATTGAATAATATTTCATTCCAATGAAATCATTCATTGATGCTGGATCCATTCAAAAGATATATATGTGGGATCTGATAAGATATAGAAAGTGATCACATTGATGAAGCGTTCATTAATTTCATATATAATTAACGGGTTGAAATGACCAGCACCAACAACAACACCAACACCAAATGAACATTAAACACAATCAATAGGATCAAGTCATGTGTATGAAAGAGATGATCGATGAACTTGCGAAGGATCAAGAACAAATCAGGGAGGTGGACATGACAATAAAGCACAACAACAACAATAACAACAACGATAAACTACTGTAATATAGTATTGACCACTAGCTCAATGAGCATGAAACATTGAGTGTTATCGGTTGATGATAGAATGAGAGTTGGGATGTGGTGCTTTTATCGAAGAGAGTTCAGTTGAAATTCTTGAATGGTTTGCACAGATGAAGTGTGTGAGTCATTGAATTGTACTGCTTCTGAGTTCAGATATCTGGGATTATGGATGATTTTTAAATGTATATTGAAACTTTGCTACCTGTCTCTTCCCGATAGAGAGTAGCACCACTGGGTTTACTGGATCCACTGTGTTCGAATCCGCAGATAGAGATCGTGGATGCGCACTGCTGACGTGTTCAATAATAGAACGAAACGGTCGTCCAGTGATTCCAGGTTTTCAGTGGTGGTCTAACATCGATCACTTCATGATCTCAATCGAAATATTAATAATCCTTACAACCCTATTCTGATGATGTCAAACAAGTCGAGCATGGTGTATATACTGGAATGATCTACAATGCTTGTAGAATTTGCACAAGACGTTTAGTAGTTTCGTGATGTAGACAGCTTTTCATGCCCAGTATGAAGCCTATCCGTATATGGTTGTTTGTCTGCAGAACACTTCAGTCATTCGTCTGTTTCAGGTCAGTGAAGTTTACCAGGTCTTAACATCTTGATAAGGTAGATTACTGGAGGCATAGAATGTTGACAGAGATGCGTTTCTTAACGTGAAATCACACATTTGATGAAACATCGATTCAAGTCTGTGAATATCATTCAGTTATTTAAGAAGCTTATTGAATCTCATTCACACGGAATGACGTGTCTACAATCACCTGTATGTTAGTTTGACAGAACGCATGTAATGAACACCAGATATAGACAGAGATGTCATTGTTTATCGATACACGAAATGTTTCTTTGTTTTATGAAATAAACAGAGTATTTAGTGAATGTTTCTATTTACGTTTTATAAATGTTAGTAAGTCAAACTACTTGATTACGGTTTTCGGGACAATTATGAGAGTTCTGTTTCATACAACTAATTCTCACACTTTGATTGATACATTTAAGTGTTTATCTTGTCAGTGATTGACGAAGTGTTTTGAAATACTGCGGATGAATTATGATTAACACAGTAAATATTATCATTACTAACACTTCTAGTGCTTACAATGATATTGCATTTTTGTCTACTATTACTACTACTACTACTACTACAACCGCTACTACTACTACTACTACTACTACTGTGATGTGTGGTACTGATGTCGAAAGATAGAGGTAGTGCGCGTTACCAATCAAGTGTGAAACGTCTACAGCCAGAAGGTTAAGAAGATCGAAACAAAGAGAACGAGAACCGAGAATGATTTGTGTGGAAATGAAGGAACTATGAAGTCTGAGAGATTTGATTGACATTTTGTAAATGAATTATTCACTGGATGTGTCTCAGATTATACTAAAACGTTCTGTAATTTAGTATTCAACTACACTCTATTATCCCAATTAGTGTTCTCGTTCACTACACCACTACTATGATTCTTTTTGATAAACTGGCAATTTATCCTGTCTCTTCAATCATCAAAACCTGAATAGTTTCAATGTCTTGTTCACAGAATAGAATGATTATAAACGAGTGTTATAATTGATGATCATAGTAATCATAAGGCACATACAACGAAAGAAGAACAAGTAACGTGAAATATTGAGATCAACAGAAAGAAGTTATAGTTGATAAGTAGCCTATTCGTTTATCATTAGACAATATGATAAAGGAATGTAGACAAACAAAAACTAATTTGTAATGATGATAATGAATTTTAGACGATGTACCTAATTAGACATTTAGAGATTCATTTGTTTATTAAAGTGTATTAAAGTGAATTGATTGTGTTCAATGTAGCATTTCAATTATAAACGGTGTAGAGTAGTTTTCAACAATTTTCAATGTAATTTCAATGGTTGAAATCATGAGTCAATTGAAAGTGGACCATCATGGAAATCGAGGAAGCACTGAACGATCTTATATTCCTATTATGGGACTC